AAAAAAAAAAAAAAAAAAAATCTGAACTATAACCCTAAAATTTACTTCTCGTGACTGTTTAGATTTGTTCACATAAACGACGTATAAACAGATACAATTTTTATGTCTATGAATTCAACGATAAAGATCTCGAGGTTTAACGTTATGATATAATTGAAAATAACCTTATTTTCGAGGGTATTTTGGTAATTTAATTGTTATAATATATTAATGTATTTTCTAAACTCTTACAAAGTGGATTGCACGTCTTCCTCACAACCATGCAACTTTCTTTACATTATTTATTTAAAGATTATTTTATTTAATTTTTTAAAAATAATATTTTAACCATCATTTAAAAAAGATTAAAGCAAAAAATTATTTTTATATTTTTAAAAAATAATATTGTTATTAATTCGTTCACTCGTTTGATGTCTTATTTAGATTAAAGTAGTTCCTACAACTCTTCCTACGTTAACCGTGACCTCACTTAGTTCATCTAAGCTGAATTTAGAGTCGTAGAGCGGAATTCACAAATTCTCGCTAAAATTCTCAAATGGGTCCTACAATAATTTATTAAAATTTATTATTTAAAAATAAATATTACAAAATTAAATTAAAAAGAAATAAGAAATAAATGAACGCTATACGCAAGGATGTATAGTATTTTACAGAACCTTTAGGATGCCTAGAATCGCACAACGATTAGTTTCCAACTGTGCGGGTTGTTGGCTAGCTTTTTGAAAAATTTCCAAACGAACAATTTCAATGAAATCTTTTAATTTCTTATTTTACTCGGTAAAATACAAACAATGAACAAATGGGCAAATTGGTAAATTGATTGCAAATAATTCCACCTGCACACCCAATTTGGTTTTTTTTTTTCTCTTAAAAAATAAAATAAAACAAAATTGTTAAAATTCATGAGAGAAAAATCATTTTTTTATTAAAATAAAAAATTGTAAAATTTATATCACAAGATCTATTTAATCATAATTTTTGTGCTGGTGGGAGAATATATATTTTTTTTTTAAATTTTAGATTATTATATCATGAGCTAGTTTTTAATAAATAAATAAGTAAATATTTGTTAGGTCTTTTTAAATATTTCTTATTTATTATTATAATTTTAAATAATTTGCGGTGATAAAATTCAAATATCTGTCGAGGGGCTAAGACTACTCTAAACTCTAGATTTGATACTCTAAGAGTTAGCGTCAACTTGGTTAGGGGTATACACAGGTTGGGTTAAAAAAATCTTTTGAACCAATTTAAAATTTTAGGTTGATCTGGTTCGTGATTCGAACAACCAGAATAGAGTTTACAACCTAACCTAACTTAACTCTGTTTTTTTTGTTACTTAAAGTTACATTAAGATTTAAAATTTCATCAAATTTAAATACCAAATATTTCATCACTAAAATTAGTTACAAACGTTAAATATTTTTAATATTTTTAAAAATATCAGACTTGTAACCCAATTTTCGAGTTAGTTAAGTTATTGAGTGATATGAAGACTCCAGATTTTCGTACTTTAATAGCATAATAACATTATTCTTTTAAATATAACAAAAAAATATTTCAAATTGGACCATAATACCTTAAAATGTGATTAAAAAAAGGTAAAATTTATGTTATATATATATATATATATATATATATATATATATATATATATAATGAAAGCTTGTAATTCTGTGCAAGAACATATCAATGGCGGAATTCCTCTGTTTTTCTGCATCTGGGTGTTCCTTTTTTGATCGAATAAAGGCAGCCACCATGTCGGCCGGCCAAGTTCTCTGCCATGAACTTCCATTGTCATGGTCCTAAAGTTGCAGAACAGCTTCCCTTTCTTTATCCAAAAGAAAAAGGAGGGAACAGCAATTCAAATCCCTTACTCTGTTCTTCAAAATTCAAACCCACGTCTTTAAAATCCCCTCGCCCACACCACTTTTCCTCAAATCCACGCTTCAAAAATGGAGAAATTCCCCATCTCCGACCAAAATTCCCACGTGGGTTTCCGTCCTTCCTCCTCTTCCATGGATCTAAACGACCAATCCACCATTTCTGAAACTTCCGGCCAGTCTCCGGCGAGCGCCTACTCTTTCTCTTACTGTAGAACCATCTCCGATGCCTCTGCTTTCTCCGATAACAGTTTCTGCACTCCTCTGGCGATTCCGGCGAGACAGGCCACTGGAAAATACAAACAGGCCGCCGGAGATAAGGTCGACGATCAATACGCCATGGATTCCGGTGAGAAGCTTTTTCCCTTTTCATAATTTTATTTTTTTAAAAGATGGGTGTTTAAGCTTTTTGTTGCGGCAGAAATGGAGATGATGAAGGAGAGATTCGCGAAGCTTTTGCTCGGAGAAGACATGTCGGGAAGTGGGAAAGGTGTCTGCACGGCGGTGACGATTTCAAACGCCATTACTAATCTTTACGGTCTGCTCTGTTTTTGCTTATGGTTTGATTGGTTTTGGAAAGTATAAGGTTAAGAAGATTTGTGTTTGTTTGATCAGCGACGGTGTTCGGACAGAATCTGAAACTGGAGCCGTTGTCGCCGGAGAAGACGGCGATGTGGAGGAGAGAGATGGCTTGTTTGGTCTCTGTTTGTGATTACATTGTTGAGTTCTTCACTGAATATCAAACTCTCCAAAATGGAACAACAATTGAGGTGATTTTATTATTGTTTTCTCGGGTTTTCGGAACGGTTTATTTTGTACGCTCGGAAGTCAAAATAAAATAAATTTGATGGTTCGAGAACTTAAATAAGATTTAAACCGAGTACTATTGATCAAACCCACCGCTAACAGATATTGTCCGCTTTAACTTGTTATGTATCGTCATCAGCCTCACGGTTTTAAAATATATCTATTAGGGAGAAGTTTCTGTACCCTTATAAACAATATTTCGTTCTCCTCTCAATTGATATGATATCTCATAATCCATCCTCCTTGGAGACCCAACGTCCTCGTTAGTACACCACAGAGTGTTTGAAATGTTTCTCGTTTGCTTATTGTTGTGTTTTTGTTTAGGTTTTGAGCAGCCGACAAAGGTCAGATATATACTTAAACCTTCCAGCATTGCAAAAGCTAGACATGATGCTCTTGGTAAATGACAGCAAAAACAATTACAAGCTTGACTTTATTTTGAGAGTGATTGATCAATCAATCTTGTTTGCGGTTTGACAGGACATTTTGGATAGTTTTCGGGACACTGAGTTCTGGTATGCCGAAAAAGGAAGCATGTCGTCGAACTCGAACTGTTCGAGACCTGGTTCGTTTCGCCGACTCCCATTGCAAAAAGAGGAGAAATGGTGGCTTCCAGTTCCCTGCATTCCTTCATGTGGTCTATCTGATAAGACACGAAGACATCTTCAAACTAGCCGTGAATGTGTCAATCAAATCCACAAAGCCGCCATGGCAATCAACAGTACCATTCTAGCTGAAATGGAAATCCCACAATCCTACATCGATACTCTTCCAAAGGTTAGTCCTTAATCGTAAAGTTTACGCTCCAAGAGCGTATCGAAACGAACATAGTTAGCCAATACAAATGGTTTCTAACTTGTTTCCATGTACAGAGTGGAAAGGCAAGTATAGGCGACACGATTTATCGCTACATGTATAGTGCAGACAAATTCTCACCCGAACATTTGCTCGATTGCTTGCAAATCGGATCCGAACACGATGCGCTTGAACTTGCTGACCGGATCGAGGCTTCGATGTATACATGGAGAAGGAAAGCATGTCTAACCTACTCAAAGTCTTCGTGGGAATTAGTAAAGGATCTAATCGTTGAAACCAACAAGGGTGACAAGAACATTGTTTTAGCGGAAAGAGCCGAGACCTTACTTTTGTCTTTGAAACAAAGGTTCCCCGAACTTTCTCAAACGACACTAGACACTAGCAAGATTCAATACAATAAGGTAAGTTAACTTCATAGAACTCGCTCAACTTTTTTCTCGTAAGTCATCAAGTTTAAGGAATTTATGAACGACTTTTTGAAGCTGAGACCTATTCCGTTCGAAAAAATTAACGGGTTTTTGATGTTGTAGGACGTGGGACAAGCAGTGTTGGAGAGTTACTCGAGAGTGTTGGAAGGATTGACATTCAACATTGTGGCTTGGATTGAAGATGTTCTTTTTGCCGATAGGTCCATAAGAAGCCAAGACTGAAAGTGAATAAGATTTTTTTTTGCCGATCGATAATAATTTTTATGTAAACAAAAAATTAAGAAATAAAAACGTGTATCTGATTTACGTGATTAACTCGTAAAAAAAAATACTAACTTTACTTGAGCTATAGAAACTATTTGGATTCCATAGCTAACCGTAAAAAAAGCTCGACCGATGATTATTTAGACATATTTAAATACAAATATATTTTATAAGATAAATTGTCTATCTATCTACGCCTTATAGATTATCTCCGAAATTTTTAATTTTTTTTTTTTAAATGTAAGTTGATACAAATTTTTATTTTATTATTATTATTATTATTTTATATATTATTGAAATTATTTAAAGAGTTATTTTTAAGTTAATTTTGAATTTATTTTAAAATTTTAAGAATAATATTAATTTTTTCATTTAGAAATTCTAATATTATTTTTAAATAAATTGAAATGTTAGTATTTTTATTATTTTGGTCTTTCAAATAATTTATTATTTAATATTTAAAATTGAATTGCGAAAGTTGTAATTTAATCCTTATCGACTTTCTCTCTCCATCTCTCTCGCGCCCTCGCCCTCTCCGACGCCGCCTGATTCCTCAGCCTCCGGCGGCGCTACTCTTCTTCGTTAAGCGCTCACTTTCCTTGTCGAACCAAAACCTTCGACGGGTATTGACCCAGCGGAAAGGTGGCCAACACCAACGAACACCCCGCGGCCCGCAGAAACCTTTAGAGACTTACCAGTGGTAAAATCTATCAAGTCATTTAGGGTATATTACATCGATTCAGTTTATAATTCGGCTCATTTAGTTCTGAAAACCCGTATTTTTGTTTATGAATTTCAGATCAGTAAGAATTCTAGCGCCCTAAAAACTCGTAACTGGCCCTTACTTGAGTTATCGTCGTTGTTTGTTTGATTGCTCTATGATTCGTAAATGTGGATGTGATAAAATAGCTTTTATTTAGGGTGACATGCTTTTGTCGAAGTGTGTATTTTGGATTCTTGATATCGAGATTTGAAAAGGTGGGGGCGTTTCATGAAGTGACGGTCGTTCAGTCTAACAATCTGCAGAGATCGTTACTATTTCATCGTGGATCGTCGCTCGAGTGTTTGCAGTATTGTAGTCTTGAATTTGCAGTAGCAAACGCAATGAGCAGCAACGTGGAGAGGCCGCAGAAATCTAGACCTCCCGAAATTATTAAGTTGAATGATGCAGCGAAATTGGTATTCAGTTTATGTTTCTTTAGTCACTTCATCATGGTTTTGAATTTGTTCTCATTCCCGTTCTTCTTCTTTGCTGTTGGGTTATGTACTATACATGTTCTGCTAGGATTGTTATGCACATTGATTTACATTTACCCCATTGTGGCTTGCTCAATATGTTGTTAGGTTTTTGTTAGAGTATACATATAACTAAATTCCACCTGGATGGTTATGTGAGATCCCACATTAGTTGGGGAGGAGAACGAACATTCTTTATAAGGGTGTGGAAACCTCTCCCTAGTAGGCGCCTTTTAAAATCTTAAGGGGAAGCTTGGAAGGGAAAATCCAAAGAGGACAATATCTGCTAAAGGTGGGCTTGAGTTGTTACAAATGATACTGTGCGATGTGCCAGCTAGGAGGCTGAGACCCAAAGGGGGATGGACACGAGGCGATGTGCCAACAAGAATGCTGGCCCCGAAGGGGAGTGGATTTTGAGATCCCACATTGGTTGGGGAGAATGAAGGGTGTGGAAATCTCTCCCTAGCAGACACGTTTTAAAACCTTGAGGGAAAGCTCAAAAGGGAAAGTCCAAAGAGGACAATATCTACTAGTGGTGAGCTTAGGCGGTTACAGGTTTATTGCTTGTTTAACTTGGTATCAAAGAGTGGTGAACTTTTGTAATGTCATTGACTCTCCAATTAATGTTGATTTTTACTTGACTTTCTATAAATTTTCAAGTTTACAATTGTGGAGAGCGTTAAAGAATAGATATAAGTAAACTTACCGTAATCCATTAGCATAAGCTTTTGTGTTTAATGGTGATTTAACGTTTTTCTGTTCTTTCTTTCCACTTTTTCTTTGATTGGGTAGCTTTCAACTTTTTCTTTCAGTTCTATTGATAAAACGTAAATTCCATAGACCGGGCGAGATAGCCTTTCATGGAGTAAACTGGAATTTAGCACTCAAAACTAATTGTGTTGCAGCATGAATAAAGGTTAGTGATTAAAGGGTCTCACATTTGAGGTCTATTTTGAAGTGAAATACCGAGTCTTTCCCTGAAGAGTTAGAACTTGTGTTCTCTAGGAAAGAAGAAAATTATATGTAAATGTAACTTACAAGGATTGGATATGAAATTCAATCATAAGAAAAAGGAAACCTTTGAGCTTGTCTTAAATTCAATCATTACATTTCTTCTCAGGAAATATTTGATCAGTTTGTGGGTATGAATCCTCAATGAGGGAAATTCTCCTGCTTCCTACCTTATAATGGCATAATCGTTCTTAACAGATATATGTCGAGGCGTGTGTCTGCTAACAGTTCTTGCTTCCCTTGTTCTGTTTTGAAACTAACATCCAGTTTTGTCAATATTGGGAAAAAAAGAAATTGTTGGAGATGATGTAGAGATGGGAAGGGTTAGGAAATTCCTTTGGAAATCTCTTCCTAGCAGACGCGTTTTAAAATCATGAGGCTGACGGCGATACATAATGGGTCAAAGCCGAAAATGTTTGCTAGTGGTGGTTACAAATGGTATCAGAGTCAGACACTGGGCACTGCCAATGAGGACATTGGGTTCCTAAGGGGGTGGATTGTAAGATCTCACATCGGTTGGAGAGGGGAACGAAATATTCCTTGTAAGGGTGTGGAAACTTCTCCCTAACAGATGTGTTTTAAGACCGTGAGGCTGACGGCGATATGTAACGGGCCAAAGCAGACAATATTTACTAGCGGTGGGCTTGGGTGGTTACAAAGAACATATGATTTTTTGCATCAAAGTGTTGTGCATAAAAATTGTCCTGATATTTAACAAACCGAATATCCATCTTATGTGCAGGCAGCGCAGTTGATGAGCAAGATGACTAAAACCGAGTGGAAAGAAACTGCGAATGATAATGAGTCAACTATGTTCGAACCCGGGAAACGACCTCCTAGGTCAGTATATAAGCAAGTATCTGGATCTTGCTACTCACTCCAAGCTTTTTAACTCTGGATCTGTTTCTCCAGACTTGGACTTGGAGCCAAAATAACACACAATATTAGAAATGGACCGTCCAATGACCCACTTGATAGAAAACTATATGCCAAGTTGGATGCTGTGAAAAAGCAAGCTGCTAGAAAGGTGTCGGAGGATACTCCCGTCCTTGACAATGAAGAAGATGACGACGATGACGATGACAAAGAGAGTAGAACTGCCATTTTCGATAAGAAGCGAGCGGCAACTCGAGTATCTATGACTCCTTTACGGGCGAAGAAAAAACGAAGGTAACTACTTTTGTAGGCAGGGAAAATCGTCTAACTAAAGAAATGAACATCTTACTAGGGTCTCAAGCAAGAGGTTACTAATTTTTGTAAGATTCAACCTTGAATGAAACTTTGTGATAAATCTTAGTTATGGATGTCTTTTTTCTTGACGTTGCAGATTGATGTTGATATCGAGGTTGTAATTTTATTTTGTTCGTATATACGTATGTATGATTGAATCTATTACATTCATGTTAAAATTCACGAAACAGTTGATCGTTATAGAGTTTGAACTCATCCAAAGACCAAACTTTTTTTTTTTTTTTTTTTTTTTTTTTTTTTTTTTTTTTTT